TTGGAAATAACCTTTGACACCGAGGTCACAAAAAAATAATTGTCAATTCATAAAATTTATCACAAAATTCCGGATTTCTTATATAAAAATGAATGAAATCAAAAATTGTCTTCATGTGTTTTTCTTAGAAAAACCAGGTTACTCTATTTTGGAACTGACCGTATGATTAAATTATTAATGTAATGTTAATATAGCTATAATTTTCATAAATTATAATTCATATTTATTTAACCACTTTATAGGTAGTTTAACTATCTCGGTACATGAATTAAAAAATTCAATAACTAATTTTATTTTTCTAACGCTAAATATAAATCTTAATTTACCTAAATCAAATTACTCGCAACCTTTTTACCATACCTTTTAGCATTAACTTTGAGCACGTGATTGTCATATCGAAATAGCCCACCACATCATAGCCGCCATTAGGCTCCAGGTCTTTTAGTAGATTCACGTAATACTTGCTGATCGCATTGAGCGTGCTCAGTTTGCTCACCTCCCGGGTCCAATGGAGTCCAATGGCCGGGCGTTTCAACTTCTTCGTCAACTCCTCGAACAACGAAAAGTTCAATATAACGGTCGGCAAGAAATAAATAGGCCGTCCCTGCGTCACACCATTCAGGCGCACGTGTCGCTCGCCGGGTATAATAAACTTTTGCTTTAACAAGAATGTCCTCGCTCGTTTAATGTCCTCCACGTGCTTCTTGAGTTCGCCCACATTGCCGGCCTCGTAGTCCTTCAACATGCCCACCGTAATCGACTTGACCTGATTCACAGACACCTTCATATTCCACTCCCTCTCCAGTTCCTGTTGCAACTCCACGGCGAACATGGACTCCAAGCCGATCTCACCCAGGGTTAGGTGGTTGGGCGTGGTCTCCGGGTCGATGCCCAGCGCCCGCCACAATTCGGCTACCATTCGTTTTTTACGGCTGCCACCCTCTTTCACCTGATCCACTTTGATCTATTTAGGGGGGAGGGGTAGGTATTTAATTGCAGTTTTTAGCATACACATTTTATAGGTGACTCACGTGTGAGGTAACTATTGGCGCGTTAATAGCCAACAGTTTGTCCAAAACGTCGCAACACGAGTGGATCCGTTGTTTCCTAATCGATGTCATTGTCAGCAACTGATCCGTCTCTGCAAACACTCCCACATCGCCGATGGGTCCGTACTGTATGGCCAGTCCGTGTAGGCCATCCCTCCGGCGTTGCTCACAAATACGTTCGCACATGGAGTTCCCGAACGAGTAGTTAGACTGACCTCCGTTTCCCTTACCGCAAGTGATCGACGAAAATACGACAAAATAATCCAAATTATAGTCCAATTTTCGGGTCAATTGATCCAAATTCGCGAAAATCTTATGTTTGGTGTCAATAGACGCACAAAACTTATCAAACGTTAAGTTCTCTATCAAACAGTCATTCAATTCAAGCGCCAAATGAAATACCCCTCCAATGGGTCCCAACTTTTGGGCCTCTTTTAACAACTCGTTTGTGCCGTCAATAGTGAACCCATCGGCGGTCGACACGACATATTCGCACTTAAAATACTTGAAATCGTCATAAAATGAATAAGCCCGGTTATACACCCAGCGTTGGTAGTCCGTTTTAAGCCCCGTCCTCGATGTGACCACAAACCTCCTGGCGCCATAATACAGCATCCAGGGCACCAGTTCCATACCGAACCCGCCCAACCCGCCGGTGATTATATAGACCTTGTTGGGATCGAAAAATGTCTTAACGGTTACCATGGTCATTGGTGCCGACTTAATCAGTTTGAATGGTTTGCGATTAGTTTCCTCCTTGCGCATTTCGATGACCACTTTCCCCATATGCTTACCGGTCGTCATATACCGGAAAGCATTCTCGCATTCAGTGACATTGAATGTGGTGTAAGTCAGAGGTCGGACGCACCCATTGGTCGAGTTTTTGTGGACCCACTCGAAGAACTCGTGGAAGAAGTCCATGTCATACATGATGACGATATCGATGACAATACCGATGAACTGTATGTTGCGGACGAAGTCAAACATTCCGAGCTTCCGATTCTGAAACATATCGTACCGTCCGATCTCCACAAACCTCCCGCTATTGGCCACGCATTCGTAGCTGGCGTCCAGTTTCTCGCCGGACAGGGAGTTCAGCACAATGTCCACCCCTAGACCTCTTGTAGCCTTTTTCACTTGATTCTTGAACAGTATGTCCCTCGAGTTGAATATCCGGTGCTCCGGTATGTTATACTCCTTCATAAGAAATTGCTTTTTCTCTTCAGTCCCGACCGTCACGTAGATATCGCACCCGTAGTGTCGGCACATGTTTATAGCCGACTGTCCCACACCTCCCGCTGCCGAATGAATTAATATACTTTCGCCTATAAATTAAAATATTAATGTATCATGCTTGTTTGTTTCTATAATGCAATTCAGACCTCGTTTCAAATTAGCCCTTTTGATGAGCGCGTAATACAGTGTGCAATAAGTGCTGAGTATAGTCGCCGCCTCAGTCATAGACCAGTGCTCGGGAACGGTAGTCATGCTGTGAAGGTTGGCGTTAATAGACGTGGAAAACGTACGGCCCATGTCTATACCCATCACCCGTTCCCCGGTGTCCGCCCGTCGACCTACATATTCGCAACCAAGCGTGCAATCAGTAAACACCTGCTCAGGGCCAAATGGTATGCGACCTAGTATCCAGATTAAATTCAATGTATTATATTATAAAAAGTTAAGTGTTTAACAACTATATAAGTTACATGATAGGTTTCATTGTCCGGGTAACAAATAAAAAACTAATTACCGGTTGCGTACATAACGTCGTGAAATGAGATACCGGCGCAATATATCTCGACACGTGTTTTCTTAATTACTTTATTATTCACGCCATATATCTCTTTAATCTGAGGGATACGTCTGGAGTCATACCATTGAATACCTCCCAAATCACCCATTTTTCCCGAGTTTAGGTAATAGTCGGTGGACTCGCACTTGTCGTAATCGGCGGTCAGTTTTAGGTGTCTATAAGTTCCCACTTTTCCCTCTTTCACGACATTCGCCACCAAATCGTTGGCCAATATATCGCTATAAGGGCTGACATTGAAGTCTATTTTCTCACTATTGTTGTCGTAATTGAAAATATATCTCCAGTTCTCTCCTCCCGGTTCTAATCGCAAGCAATTCATGAGACCTATTATCCCGTTAATGGACGAGTCGTTGGCTACGAGCCATACGTTATCCGTCTTATTGTCCGCATCTTTAGCGGCAATCAGTCTTTCCTGCAATACTCCAAACCATTGATTGTAATCATTGCCCGTTATGTTAATGATATCATTATTACTAGGAATGGGTTTCTGAACAATATTTCTGAATAATATAGCAATGTTTCCAATCGTATCACTCTTTGTACTGATCAGTCGGAAACCAATTTGGTTCGCGATTTTAATAAACTTTTCCAAACGTAGACCCAATTCAGTGTTATTGAGAACAGCCTTTCCGTTCAATGAGTTCAACGCGATCTCCGGTTCCGTAAACTTATAGCGGAATACAGTTAATAGGAATCCGTTTGATTGGATCGAGTCATACAAGTCCTGCATAAATGTCTGCAAATCTATTGGCCATAAGTCCGGTGTGTCTCTCATGATCACCAAATGTGACGGTTTTAATGGCACGCTATCCTTAACATCCCATTCCTGTGCCTTTTCCTTATAGACATCGACGACATCTTGTTTGGACTTAACGATCAGTTTGTACTCGACATCAAAGGGCAGAATACGGAAGTGTGATATAAACTGATCCACTTCTTTGACCAACAAATCGCGACTGAAATTAATTTCCGTGACTTTCAACTCCTTAATTGTGACCATATTTTCGCAAACCGTGTCGACCAGTGTCCGCACCATTCGCTCGCTTCTCGACACTTGATTCACGATATCTCGACTCAAATCGTACTCAGGATTCGTGTGAATCTCAGACAACACTTTTGTCACATTTGTCTCGTTTTTGATGTTTTTATTTTCGTCCACCATTTCGGACAACATTTTATTCAACACCCGAAACAACACATGATTTTCATTGTTTGCATTTCTGTACTCTTGTATGACTTCGTCGCTAATAGACTTGTAATTGAAATCGCATTTCATTTGTTTGAAACCAATTTGCTTTAGTTTGGCGGCCATTGCTTTGCAAACCTTGATAATTATAATAAGTAGCACCAGGTTAACGTAAAAACTATAATTAATATAAAACTCATAAAATCTATATATCACTCATACCTCTAAATACTGGCCAATACTGGCCGCCAGGGTATGATCGATGACTGCCGTGTCATCGTTGGGACAGAACTCCGCCGAATCCAACACCAGATCCGCGGTGTCTGTGCGCCGGGGTATCGGAAAGGCCAGCATATCCTCCAACTCGATCCCGTGCGCCACCAGGTGTTTGGTCTCGATGTTGTAATAAAGGGGCAAAAGGGACGGGAATATAGCGAACCTCTCCTTAAACCTCTCCAACTCTCGCTTAGCCACAGCCGACAGGTTGTTGTACTCATCCACCTCTTCGGCCCCACTCTTCATGTTCATGACATCCGCCTCGTAGGGCCGGTCGATGACCAGTGCCTTGTTTAGGTCGCCTATTGTCACATCGCCCTCGTTATCACCTTTATTATCGGTCTTTTCTTTCGCCTTTTCGGCAGCACTATCGTCAACAAACCTACGGAGGGTATTAATTTTTTTATAAGTACCCTGGTTAATATTCATATCTCTGAAAAAATTTGAGTGTTTTAAAAAGTTACTTTTTAAAAGTTAGATAAATATTTCAGAAGTTAATTTTTAAAATGGCATAAATGCTTATAAATTACTAATATAACTCATTTCAAAATTTAAACACTATCAGATAATTATAAAAACAAATTATAATATATTCATTGATTAGATATAATATATAAATATTTACTTTTCTAATAATTTAGACCTATTATACTGTAATAATAATTAAATTTAACTCACTTATAACCGCCGGAAGTTTTATTTTTATTTAAAAAGTCCACTTCCTTGATGGCATCGCTTTCAGCGTTACTAATCTCACCCTCGATTTTATTTTTACGAATGGCTTCAAACATGACCCGTGGGTCCACTCGCAACGTACGTATCATGACCGGCACCATGAGCTTACGGAAGGGTACGGCCAGACTCATGGACTGTAGCATAGCGTCCATATAGGAGACAAAGTTTCCGTCCCATTCGTTTAGGCCGTAAAAGTCGCGAAAGTTATTTGTGCCCACTTTTCGCAGTCGACGAAACTCTTTGCCGTAATCTAAGCCCAGGATACGTAACTCCTTATAGATGTCATCCCTTTCCAGTGTGTACTGACAGTCGGTTATGTGTTTCTCATTCTCGTAGATCTTGTATTGAGACACCAGTACCTCATCGCCCGGTGCCCGGATTTTGCCCACAGCGCACACGTTATCGTTGTCGTATATGGAAAATTCATCTAGAGTATTTAGATTATTAATAAAATATAGATTATTAAAATATAGTTTAATAGTAGTTTGTATAATGTTTTGTCCTAATCGGTATTTTATATAAAATTGAGTAAGCAAGTTAATATGGATATAGATAATATGAGCTTTGGACAACCAGAGTAACGTTAGCTATTTTTTATTAATACTTTAAAATCCAATAATATTTTAACCTGATGAGTTATAATACTACTCGTTTACCTTAAACCTATAAATATTTTATGAATACAGTAGTTGACTTTTGTATAAAATTAATAATTAGATATAATAAATATAAAATAGCTAACGTTACTCTGGTTGTCCAAAGCTCATATAATTTATATTTTTATTCTACTGTATGTACAACTACTAATAATTTATTATATAAATTTATAATTAACATACCTGTTAATGGGTAATATTTAACTTTCAAAACAGTATCTTTTTCATCAGACAAAAACACAGCCCGTTTAAGTTGGACATTCTCAAATATAACCGGCACGTGATGCCATAGTTTGCCAATTGACGCTGCTAATTTACGCCAGGCCAACATTAGATACCCGGTGGCCGGGAATATAGGATTGCCATCGACACAGTGGTCCATATTGGGACGGAAACTTTGTCTCCTATATGGACGCTATGCTACAGTCCATGAGTCTGGCCGTACCCTTCCGTAAGCTCATGGTGCCGGTCATGATACGTACGTTGCGAGTGGACCCACGGGTCATGTTTGAGGCCATTCGTAAAAATAAGATCGAGGGTGAGATCAGTAACGTTGAAAGCGATGCCATCAAGGAAGTGGACTTTTTAAATAAAACTAAAGCTACCGCCGGTTATAAGTGAGTTGAATTTAATTATTATTACAGTATAATAGGTCTAAATTATTTTAAAAAGTAAATATTTTATATTACGGTATATCTAATCAATGAATATATTATAATTTGCTTTTATAATTATCTGATAGTGTTTAAATTTTGAAATGAGTTATATTAGTATTTATAAACATTTAGCTATATTATATAATATAAGTCTTATATAATGAGACAATTTTGGGGGTCGTCTCGGGCCGTATATACCGTGCTATTGTTACCGGAATTCGGTTCAATTTATAGGTTTTTTATTGAACTTCAAGAGTTGATCCCAATTTATGTCTTAATTATCAATTATATGGCAATGAATTTGTCTAAAAGACAAGTCATAGCAGAAAGAGGTGTGCATTTCTATAAAAATGTTGCCTTTAACAGCTTTAAACAGCAATAACAATGCATTTGTACCCAAAGACCAAAACCCACTTAACTGTCCACAGGCCAGACCTATTGAAACGTTTTGGGCTATTTGTAAAAAAGTTCACTCTAAGACATCCATCACATCTAAAACAACCAAACAATTCACAAGAATTTGGATAAAAGTTAGTTTTTCTGTCGCAGAAAGGAGTGCACAGACTTTGATGGTAGGGGTCCGAAGAGTTATTGAAGATATCGGAACCAATGAGTCGTATCAACCAATTAGACACAGGAAATGATTCAATACTATGCTATTTACATGTCCATCAAATTTTACTCAAATATCTCTATTCGTTATAATTTTACAGTAAAATGAAAATTGTCTCACTATATATGACTTATAGTTTATTTTAAAAATTAACTTCTGAAATATTTATCTAACTTTTAAAAAGTAACTTTTTAAAACACTCAAATTTTTTCCGGGATATGAATATTAACCAGGGTACTTATAAAAAAATTTAATACCCCCCGTAGGTTTGTTGACGATAGTGTTGCTGAAAAGGCGAAAGAAAAGACTGATAATAAAGGTGATAACGAGGGCGATGTGACAATAGACGACCTAAACAAGGCACTGGTCATCGACCGGCCCTACGAGGCGGATGTCATGAACATGAAGAGTGGGGCCGAAGAGGTGGATGAGTACAACAACCTGTCGGCTGTGGCTAAGCGAGAGTTGGAGAGGTTTAAGGAGAGGTTCGCTATATTCCCGTCCCTTTTGCCCCTGTATTACAACATCGAGACCAAACACCTGGTGGCGCACGGGATCGAGTTGGAGGATATACTGGCCTTTCCGATACCCCGGCGCACAGACACCGCGGATCTGGTGTTGGATTCGGCGGAGTTCTGTCCCAACGACGACACGGAAGCCATCGATCATACCCTGGCGGCCAGTATTGGCCAGTATTTAGAGGTATGAGTGATATATAGATTTTATAAGTTTTATATTAACGATAGTTTTTACGTTAACTTTGGTGCTACTTATTATAATTATCAAGGTTTGCAAAGCTATGGCCGCCAAACTAAAGCAAATCGGTTTCAAGCAAATGAAATGCGATTTCAATTACAAGTCTATTAGCGATGAAGTCATACAAGAGTACAGAAATGCAAACAATGAAAATCATGTGTTGTTTCGGGTGTTGAATAAAATGTTGTCCGAAATGGTGGACGAAAATAAAAACATCAAAAACGAGACAAATGTGACAAAAGTGTTGACTGAGATCCACACGAATCCTGAGTACGATTTGAGTCGAGATATCGTGAATCAAGTGTCGAGAAGCGAGCGAATGGTGCGGACACTGGTCGACACGGTTTGCGAAAATATGGTCACAACTAAGGAGTTGAAAGTCACGGAAATTAATTTCAGTCGAGATTTGTTGGTCAAAGAAGTGGATCAGTTTATATCACACTACCGTATATTGCCCTTTGATGTCGAGTACAAACTGATAGTTAAGTCCAAACAAAATGTCGTCGATGTCTATAAGGAAAAGGCACAGGAATGGGATGTTAAGGATAGCGTGCCATTAAAACCGTCACATTTGGTGATCATGAGAGACACACCGGACTTATGGCCAATAGATTTGCATAAATTTATACAAGACTTGTATGACTCGATCCAATCAAACGGATTCCTATTAACGGTATTCCGCTATAAGTTTACGGAACCGGAGATCGCGTTGAACTCAATGAACGGAAAACCAAGTCTTAATGACTCTGAACTGACTCTACGTTTAGAGAAATTCATAACAATCGCCAAAAGTGTTGGTTTACGCCTAATATGCAGCAAATGTGATACAATAGGAACGGTATGCCTGTTGTTCAGAAATGTGACAGAAACACATCCATGTCCTGAAAAGCATAATGTCGTTAATATAAAGGGCGGTGATTATGAGCAATGGTTTGGATTATTGCAGGAAAGGCTGATTGAGGCCAAGGAGGCCGACAATGTGACCGAACCCGTATGGATCGTTGCAAACGACTCATCAATTAATGGCATAATAGGTCTCATGAATTGCTTGCGATTAGAGCCCGGGGGGGAAAACTTCAGATATATTTTCAATTACGACAACAATAGTGAGAAAATAGACTTCAATGTCAGCCCTTATAGCGATATATTGGCCAACGATTTGGTGGCGAATGTCGTGAAAGAGGGAAAAGTGGGAACTTATCGACACTTAAGACTTCCCACGGATTAC